GAGAAGGAGAAGAAGAAGAAGAAGAAGAAGAAGAAGAAGAAGAAGAAGAAGAAGAAGAAGAAGAAGAAGAAGAAGAAGAAGAAGAAGAAGAAGAGACAGACAGACACCTGTATTGCTGGAAGCTGTACTCCACCGAGGACTACAGACAGCCAACATGGATAATAATAGCAAACACTGCCCAGGCATGGTGGACCCTGTGGTGTAGACCAGAGACAGTGTTCAGTTGGAGTCAGGGAGTCTCTCTGCACAAAAGGCATTGGGACAGAGCCCCAGGGAAGGAGTTCTTCTGACAACTGTAGGGAACAGAGTCCAGGCCAAGGGAACAGCCAAGAAAGACCCAGGCTCCCAGCAAAACACTTGAGTATGTTGAAGGAGCCATAAAGTCAAGAGTGACCGGAGAGAGGAGGTGACAGGTGGAAACTAAAATCAGAGCTATCCGAGGTCAGACTGTGGTGGGCCATAGGGAAAGAAAACGTTGGCGATGACCTTTCGTAAGGGATCTTAGTGAGATGGGAGCCATGGGCAAGTTTTGAAAGCACTTGTGGCTGCTGTGAGAAGCTGGGGACCGTGGGCGCTCAGTGGTGGGACTTAGGGACTCCAGGAAGAATGTCATTCTGATCAGGGAGGACAGGGTGGGGAGGTGAGGATGGACCCATTCTGGGTACAGTTTGACCGCAGAGCTGATAGAGTGGGGTGGGGCCAGAGAGGGATAAAGGTGATCTCTGTACCTGGGAGGATGTCACTGTGAGGGATGACTATAGCCGGACGGAGCAGGTGGGGTGGTAGAGACGGGTCCCTGCTCTAACCACACAGAGTGGAGGCATTCCTCTGTGGGGAGTGGTCCAAGAGAGGCTGAGTGTGGGAGCCCGGCTCTCCCAGGAGGATGGGAGGGAGTCAGAGAGAGTCTGACATCTCCCTCAACAAGGCTTGCTCAGCTTTGCATCAGAAGTATCTACTTCCAATTTTACAAGTACCAAGACTGTTGGGGCCGGAGCGGGGTTCCACTGTCCCCAAATAATGCATTACAGAACCAACGTCCTTAAAATGCAGCTTCTCCGTTGCCCAGCAGCTCACAGGAAAATTCCTTTCCACCTTGGTTCACGGATTTCATCTCCGTGAGATACTGGCCAAGGCCAGGGCAGGAGCAGGCTAGCCATCTCAGTAGCCTGGGCTACTGGCCAGCTAGGCTCTAACGAGACCTTGGGGGAGATGTATCTGAGTTACAGATTCTATTAGGGCCTTTGCACCCCACCCCAAGACTGCTGGAAGGCCGCCGCAGGGACTTCAGGAGAAGGGATGGGCTCTCTGTTTATTCCCTCCTCCTCCTCACCCCATCCACCCCCTCATGGCACAACTCACGTAGGCACTCTGTCTTGGAAGGCCAGTCGGAAATACTCCTCCCATGCCACTGCCATTGGCCTACAGGTGTCTCCGGCCACCCTAGCACAAGCCGAGGGACTTGGACGGAGAGTGCTGCCCCTGCCTGGAACTCCCAGAAACCCAAGCCTGAGCGAGCCCTGGTTGCCTGGGCAGCCAACAGCGCAACACTCTGTTGCCAGGCTGCAGCCTAGGACCCACCCCTCCTGATAGGGACAGACAGCAAACCAGGAAGGGAGGGGATGGCTATCCCCTATCTAAATTTGGATGCAGTGGACAGGACACGGGTCTTGGGTCAATATTTCCTTTTCTGGGAGGCCCTTGTCTTGGCTGGGTGGAGTTGGGCATCACCATGCAACAGTATGCTCCTTCATGCACACCAGAGACTCATCAGGGCTGGACTGGGACTCGGTGCTGCAGCTTTCACTTGGCATATGCAAGGTCCCGGGTTCTCTCTCCAGCACCGTGCCCCCACAAAAGAGTAATTATTGAGCGCCTCCTGTTTGCTCGGCCCAGTGTATTGTCAGTCACTCTGGGGAAGACTGCTAAGGAGGAGCTCCAGCCCTCTGGGTCTCCGTGCCCAAGCTGGTGATGGGGCTAGACTGCCCATGCCTCACGGAGCCCCCAGGCTGGTTTGGGGAAAGCGCTGCTCTGAAGAGATGCTGTGGGAAGGGACTGGTGATTTGCACTTGAAGGGTGGAGGAGGGAGAGGCTGTCACAGTTTGAGTACCGGGATCAAACAGGATGCCCTCCATTGTGTAGGGCAACATTTAACCCAAGGCACTGGGACTAGGGGAAAGGACTCAGTGAAAAACACTCACAGCATATTCAACTGGAAGCGGCTAACTGGTCACCTGCTTCAGACTGTTCGGGTCCCTTCCTCCTCCCTCTTTCCCTCCTCCCTCCCTTTCCTCTGTGTACCTCCTTGAGACAAGGTCTGACTTTTTAGCCCAGGTTGGTCTTGAACTTACAGAAATCATCCTGCCTCGTCCTCCAAAGTGCTGGGATTATAGACATGAGCCACCTGTTTTTTGAAAATCTCAATTTCTATTTATTTATTTACTGTTTGCTTTTGTTTGTTTTTCAAGTTAGTTTCTTTAAGACAGGGTCTCACTCTGTACCAAGTATGTACATACTTAACTATGTAGCCAAGGCTGATCTCTAACCCATGATGATTCTGCCGCATTAGCTTCCTGTAATTTCCTCTTTCAAATGAGTATATTTCCTTTGTTTGCCTTTAAACATTGTTTTTATTGCCAGGCATGGTGGCTCACGCTAGCCTGGTCTACAAAATGAGTTCCAGGAAAGGCGCCAAAGGTACACAGAGAAACCCTGTCTTGAAAATAAAATTTTTTTTTGTGTGTATGTATGTGTATATGTGTGTGTGAGTGTGTGCCTGTATGCATATGTGTGTGTGTGTGTGTGTGTGTGTGTGTGTGTGTGTGTGTGTGTGCATGTGAGTACAACTTGTGAGACTTGTTTCTCTCCTTAACCTCATGGGACCTGGGGATTGACCTCCCACTCCGTCTCCCGAGTGCTGGGATTGCAGGTGTGCTGGTTAGATTTATGTCAGTTTGCCACAAGCTAGAGTCATCTGAGAAGAGGGAGCCTCACTAGCTGTGAGCAAGCCTGTAGAGCATTTTCTTAATTAGTGATTGATGATGGCCCAGTAAACTGTGGGTGGTGCCGTCCCTGGGCTGGTGGTCCTGAGTTCTATCAGAAAGCAGGCTGAGCAAGCCATGAGGAGCAAGCCAGTGAGCAGCACCCCTCCATGGCCTCTGCATCAGCTCCTGCCTCCAGGTTCCTGTCCTGCTTGAATTCCTGTCCTCACTGCTTTTGATGGTGAACAGTGACAGGGAACTGTGAGTGAAATAAACCCTTTCCTCCCCAAGTTGCTCTTGGTCATGGTGTTTCATCACAACAATAGTAACTCTAAGACCGCTATCCTGCTCAATTTGATTGGTTTATTTATGAAGTTAAGGCCCCACTGTGTAGCCCAGGCTGACCTCAGATTCACAATCCCTCCTCCTCAGCCCCTCCAGCATCGGGATGCCAGCCCTGTGCCAACCCATGCTTACTTGTAATACCTACATCGCTTGAAACGACTCCTAAGGAATTTTGTTAGGGGATATTTTTAAAAAAGAGATCTAAAATAGCCCACATTTTCCCTTTGAGCATTTTGCATTAAATTACCCACATCATCTTTCCGTGTAACCTGATGCGAAGCTTCAGCAAGAAACATGATCTCATTTTTCTTAATTAAAAAAAAATGGAGGTGTAATTTCTACCTCCTGAAATTCACCCCCCCCTTTTTTTTTCACACACATTTCCATGGTCTGTGGCAAATGTGTAAAGCTGTGTAGCCATGACAAGTAAGACAAAGCCCAGGAGACTCTGGGCCCACTTGTAATCTGTCTGGGATACATCTCAGCCTCCAAACCATTCGGTTTGGTACACAGCTGTAATCCCAGCACTCAGGAGGCTGAGGCAGAAGGATGGAGTGTTCAAAGCCAGCCTGAGCTACGTGTCCAGGTCCTGTCAAATACAAAAACAAAACAAAAAACAACAAAACAAAACACCCAGGATATGCTGAGCCGCAATGCAGGTTCAAGGCCAGCCTGGGGAATCTGCTGAGATCTGTCTCAAAAGGAAAAGTAATAAAAAAAAAAATGGGACTCAGTAGAGTACTTACTTAGTATGAGAGAGAGAGAAAAGAAAGAGAGAGCTGGGCGGTGGTGGCGCACACCTTTAATCACAGCACTCGGGCACTCGGGAGGCAGAGGCAGGCTGATCTCTGTGAGTTCGAGGCCAGCCTGGACTACAGAGTGAGTTCCAGGAAAGGCTCAAAGCTACACAGAGAAACGCTGTCTCGAAAAACAAAAACAAAAACAAAAAAAAAAAATAAAGAAAGAAAAGAAAAGAGAGAGAGAGAGAGAAGCAAGCCTTTATAATTTTGCCTTTTCCAGAATGTCAAAATGGGTATAGCGTTCCGGGGTAGAGGGCTTAGCCAGTATTCATGAAACCCTGGGTTCCATCCCCGGTATGAGGATGGAGGCGTACTATGATATGCAGCCTTCTGGGCCTGCCGCTGTCATTCAGAAACATTGCCACGGAGTCAGTCCCCTTTTGTTCCTGGCTGAGTAGTATTTACAGTTTTGTCAACTTCACACAAGCTGAAACCACCTGGGAAGAGGGGCCTTCAGTTGAGGAAATGCCTCCACTGGCCTGTAGGGCTTTTTCTTTTTTCTTTCTTTCCTTTTCTTTTTTGGTTTTTCAGCACAGGGTTTCTCTGCTGTCCTGGAACTCACTCTGTAGACCAGGCTGGCCTCGAACTCTGATCCGCCTAGCCTCTGCCTCCTGAGGGCTGATGCATGTGTCTCTGTGGTGGCGTGTTTTCTTCATTACTGATGGATGTGGGGTGGGCAGTCCATGGTGGGTGGGGCCACCCCTGGGCTGGTGGTCCTGAGTTCTATAAAAAAGCAGGCTGAGCAAGCCACGGGGAACAAGCCAGTAAGCAGCACCCCACGGGGAAAAAGCCAGTAAGCAGCACCCCTCCTTGGCCTCGGCATCAGGTCCTGCCTCTGGATTCCTGCCCTGACCTCCCTCGGTGATGGATGTGAGCTCTAGGATGAGGCCAGCCCTTTCCTCCTGAAGTCGCTTCTGGTTGTGGTGTTTTATCGGGACAATAGAAAGCAAATGAGGAGAGCTCTGGGTGGTGTGCACTGTGGTTTCTTCGGTCCTCGAATGAAGGGCGGCTCCGTTGCTTCTCGTGCCCAGCCAGCCCTAGTGTCCCGTGTGTCACTCTAAGTGTGGATGGACCCCTGGGTCCTGTCAGCTGAGCACATGGTACTCTGAGCAGCACTCCCAGGTGGTTCCCACCACCAACTGTCAGTTTCTTCTTGTTTTGCTTTGTTTTTACGTATGTATCCCAGGCTGGCCTCAGTGTAGTTGAGGATGACCTTAGACTCTGGGTGAGTGTGTGAGTGTGCAAATGTGTGTGTGTGTGTGTGTGTGTGTGTGTGTGTGTGTAGAGGCCAGAGGACAACCTCAATGTCATTCTTTAGGCACCATCCACCTTTTTAATATTTTTTAATCTATTTATATTTTTGTTTGTTTGTTTTTTTCGAGACAGGGTTTCCCTGTGTAGCCCTGGCTGTCCTGGATCTCACTCTGTAGACCAGGCTGGCCTCGAACTCACAGAGATCCTCCTGCCTCTGCCTCCCGAGTGCAGGGATGAAAGGCGTGCGCCACCACCGCCCAGCTCAAACATTTATTATTTATTTATTGTGTAGTGTGTGGGGCAAGCCGCGGCGCATTTGTGGAGGTCAAAGGTCAACTTGAGCTGGTTCTGTCACTCCACCATGTGGGGTTGGGGGTAGGGGTAGGAATTGAATTTAGGTCATCAGGCTTGATGGCAAGTGCCCTTGCGGGCTGGACCGGCTCATTGTCCCCCCCCCTCCCTCTTCTGTCTCCGCCTCCCCAGGGCAGCGGGTTACAGGCGCTCCGCTCCGTGCTATGCCTGGCTATCTGGGTGGGTGCTGCGCCTCCCAGCTCAAGTCCCCGCGCAGACACAGAAAGCATTGCTCTGCGGGAACGATCTCCCCAGCCCCAGCCACCCCTTATTTGGAATTCTAGAACCAGGGAACACTTTATTCCATAAAACAGAATAAATGTTCCGATCCTTGGAACAAAGGAGGGTGGCTTAACAGAAGAGGGAGGCAGGCGTGAAGAAAGCCAGAGCCGAAGCAGACGGGAGGGGCGAAGGAGCTTTGAAATCATGAGGACCCTGAGTTCCGATCCGATCCTCAGCTTCCCCCATCAAAAGCTGGGCGTGGCAGAGCTCTGGGGAGGGCAGCCTGGGAGGATCCCTGGGGCTCACTAGGCAGCCGTCAGCCTGCAGGGATGGATGGATGAGCTCCAGGGTTAGTGATAGACTGTCTCAAAACGTGAGGACCCCCAGACACGGACCTCTGGCCTCCACACGTACATACATGAACACACGCGCGTGCGTGCGCGCGCGCGCGCACACACACACAAATACATGAATGCACGCTTGTGTACATGAATGCATACATGTACACA